CCACAACACAAAATGCGTAAAGCCGGAGAAGCTTTGGTTCGTTCGTTTGTTGCAGCAAAATAAAAATAAAAACTCTCTAAAAAGTGACTTTAATTCAACCTTAGTTATAAATCTTCTACGATCTGCACACACATATTACATCCGCTCATCCGCGGGTTAAACCGCCGCCCCATCCAAGAAAGATCTAAACCGGACTTGTCATGACTAACCACCCAAATCATTCATTCTTCAAGTAGAATGACCAATACCACCGTTCATTCTTCAAGTAGTACTCTGTCTTGATCATGTCTTCTACTACAATTGTTGCCTGAAGCATAGAGATACTAGAAAATCGAGCTTGTTCCGAATTTCTATAGAGTAGAGATAGAGAGGAGGAAAGGTATCAAGAATCAAGCCTCGCAACATGCCACGCTCATCTACGGTCTGGATGTGATCTCGATGGCCTTAAAGCTTCTTCAGGTAGTGCCACATCCATATCAAGCAAGTTCGTTTTAAGGAACATGGTTACGCGTTTCAAAGAAGCCACACAGCAGCCTTTTTAACCCACTACCTTAAAGATTTCTTCTTCTTTTGTTCTGCTCTGAGAAGCCAAAACCAAGTCCTCCCAGTTTATTCAGTGCACCGGCAAGATCATATCTGTCTAATGACACGTCAGATTCAGATTTTAAGCCCTTCACCACGACCTTCAGAACCAGTTAAAATAACCTCATCTCAAGAATCACCAACTTCTAGCTTACTATATAACTGGCAGAGATGAGCACTGAGTCGTTAAGATGAGTAGAGGACGAAATGTTGGAATTCCATTTGAACCGATCAGACCTCTCTCTCTAACCAAATCTCTGTTTGTCACAAACTTGGAACAGATCTCCTCAAAATTGTATGGGGAAATAGATTCTTCTTCTTGATATCTTGTCAACCCAGAGTCAAGTTCAGCAACATTGGACATGTCAGCCACATTTTTGCCGGCGCTAGACTTAACAGATTCTGGCTCTCTTCGGCTTTCCAAGATTCAGAGATTTCCTTCCCTTCCTCAGTTGCTGATGAATACGGAATACACTTACTCTCAGTGTGCTTCTCAGTTTTATCATCACTTCCTAATGTTTTGTGGCATCTGAAACAGTGAATCATGGATGGCAAAATGGATTCCAAGCATTCGCGTCTACATAGTTTCTCTCACCTTGCAACCTTTGTCTTCGTTCCCCCGTTCTTTTAAGGTTTGGGTCTCTAATTTGATGCATGGACCATATCTCTGCTCCATAGACATGGTAGCCTTTGACACAAAGACTCCCAACCACTACTGGAGGGGACGAATCTTGAGCTTGTTTCCTTTCCTTTTTGAAGATCCTGATACCATCATCAATACTCCAGTAACTTAGCAGTGACCACTTACGCGCCACTAATACCATCATCAATACTCCAGTAACAACACCTGCCAAGATCATCCACATCTTCTTGATCACCTGAAACAGAAATTTTAAGGATTCTCTTATTCATCAAGCAAATTCTCCCTGAATTGATTTCACATACAGTTAAAAAAACAGAACAAGTTTGCTCTTAGATACCATGAGCATCAATGCATCATTACTTTCATAGTTGATTATTTATAAGAAAAAGGTTTATTTATGGGTCTTATGGCTCTATCACAAATATAACACTGTTGATTTGCGAAAGAAGACCTAGCTATAAACCAAAATCTAACAACAGAAACCCTAAAAACAAAACCGAACTAAGAGAGAACAGAGAATCGAAAGAAAGCAGAGCAGACCTAGAAATCCTGTTCGATTATGAGAAGACAGTGAACGCAAGCAATGTCTTCTTCAGTACCGTTAACGTGTGACGTTGGAAATAACAAGATCAGGGAAGAGGCAAACAATAAACAGAGAGAAAGCTTTTCAATAGAAAACAAAGGATAATAGGAAAATTTTATAATCCTATTTCTCTTGGCTAAAGGGCCAA